AAGCAACCCCGCTCCCCTGGCAGCTCTCTGGGCCCTTGGCAGTTTTCTGGTCCTTCCCTTTGGGCACTCACAAAGGGGAGTAAAGCTGCAGCAATGGCTCAGGGAGTGAAGCAGCAATGCCTGTCACATGCTCCCAGGGCTGAACTCCTGCACGCCCTGAGGCTCAAACACACAGCAGAGGTGGAGCAGCTCCTGTCTTTACAAAACCCGCTGGGGAGCTGAGGAACTGCAGAGCTCAGCCCAGCCAACTGCACAGGGAGGCAGGACCACAACACGGATCTCTCGGCCATGTCTTGGCTCCCTTGCGCTTTGCAGCTTTTCTCTCCAATGCATCTGTGCGAGGGCTCTAGGGGCTGTAGTGTGGGCTTCACCAGGCCTCCAGGAACTCGCACCGCCTGCCCAGAGACAGGAAGAGACGACAACCCCAGGAGGCTGGTGCCCGTGGCTGCGCAGACACTGTGCCTGGGCGCAGGGATGCTCCCTCCCTGTCAGCTGGAGCCGTGGCTGAGATCTCCCTCTGTTAAAGGAAACCTTCACACTCCTCGCGCAACAGCCCGGCCATCAGGCTCTGCTGCCAGGTCTCTGCAACCACAACAGCTTTGCCACATGAACAGGAGAGGGCATGGCAGGGCTGACCCTGCAAGCACAGCCATGCGAGCAGTTTGGGCGCAGGGATGCTCCCTCCCTGTCAGCTGGAGCCGTGGCTGAGATCTCCCTCTGTTAAAGGAAACCTTCACACTCCTCGCGCAACAGCCCGGCCATCAGGCTCTGCTGCCAGGTCTCTGCAACCACAACAGCTTTGCCACATGAACAGGAGAGGGCATGGCAGGGCTGACCCTGCAAGCACAGCCATGCGAGCAGTTGGAGCGCGCTCTCACAGCAAGGGGATGGAAAACCCTCGATGGCTCCCTTGGAGACTGCAGGGAGATCCTGAGCCAGAAGAGCCGAGCAGCTCCCTGCAGGAAAGGGATGGGGAGGAAGAGGAGGGCTAGAGCTGGCTCAGGGCCTGTCCCAGGAGCTCCAGGCCCAAGGGCTGCAAGGAGGTGCTGGGAGCTCTGCTCCGTCCCTGCCTCCTCTGCTCTTGCTGGGAGCCAGGGCGGTTTTACTCGCAGCACGGTGCCAGCTCAGGGGCACGGTCTGCGGGGAGCAGTTAAGACTGGCTGCCTCCACAGCTGGGGCAACTGGGAATGTGCGATGAATTCCCTCTAAAAAAACCATACAAAATTAATTGGCTAATAAATTAAAAAGTCAGTTGGTCACCACTGTGGGGAACTGCTCTGTTCATCCCGGGGGGGCCTGGGGGTGACCCTCCAGGGCCAGAAGGCAGTTCAGCCCAGGCGAGGGGATTATTGTTTGCGTGTTCCCAGCTGGAAGCGAGCTTCCTCGGAGATCCCGTACTGCTCCAGGGGGTCCTGCAGCAAGAGCACAGGGAAGGCACCAGTGAGACGCGACAAGGGGAGGCCAGCAGGACTGTCCCTCCACCAGTCTGTGGCCCAGGGCTGGGTGCCCGTTCCAGTCCTGTGCTGGATTCACCCCAGTCCAGCCCTTGGCTGCTGTTTCTGGTGCAGGAAGTCAAGCAGTCCTCGGGGAAGACATGGATAACCAAGGTTCATGGGCTGGATTCTGTCCCCTCTGGCACAGGAGTGAGCGGGTGAGCCGCAGCCACCTCTGTCACCTTGAGCAGGGAATGCTCCGCAGAGCGTGGCAGAGGTGCGAGCAGCATCTTAACCCGTGTACGCTCTGATCCGGCCAGGGCTGCCTGTGAACCCTCCCAGAGAACTGGAGGGAGTCCGGGCTAGCCCAGGCCAGACCTGTCCAGCTACAAACCTCGGGCCACTCCGCCACTGGAAGAGTGGGTGTACGAGGGCCGGAGCCCAGCACGACGCTGCAGGCTGCTCAGCAGAATAAGACCCGGGTCTGGCTGCTGAGACCACGGCTTCTGGGACTGGTTCACTATGGGATCTCTTTAGTACACACGGTAATGAACAGCCTTGTGCAGCACAGCTGGCAGCAACACCCGAGATCCCCAGGCCCTGCCCCAGTCCAAACCCATCGGTCGCCACCCAACAAGCCAACTTCAAGGGACTCACCTTCCCCGTCATCTTCTGGATCTCATTCCGGTAGAAAATCAAGCTCCTCCTCATGAACTCGTAGCTGTAAGACAGGAACAGACCATGCGGCAGGATGTGGAGAAGTTTCAGATGCTATTTAGAGCTGAAGGGAAGCTGGCTGGGGAGGAGATGACCGCCTTCCTCCCTGGGTTCGCCACAAGCTGATCCCAGAACACAAACAGCACAGAGCACACAACGCAGAGCTCGCAGTCGTGTACCTGGCTCGCTTGAGTGCCTCAATCCACTCCTGACACTGCTCTTCACTGTCACATTCGAAGCAGTATTTCCTCTCCGGCTCCTCAATGAAACCTGCCAGGGATGAGGAAAAGGTTTAAGGGAGGTCCTGGCAGAGCTGCCCGTGCTGTCTCCCTCCCCAGTCACAGCCAGACTCTGCCAGGCCACCATGAGCACCTCTGTTCAACTAAAAGGATCTGAGAACAAGCTGGTAACCCAGGTCCCCGTCCCCTCTCCCTTACTCCGCGTGGCTCCTGGCTGGCCCCCAGCAGCTGCCTGCAGCGCTTGTCAGCTTACAGCAGCCAAAGACTTCGGAAAGGAAACAGCAGCTTCTCAAAGCGAGAGCGACAGCGCGGGACTGAACCAAGAACACGGCCAGATTCAGGGCCGAAACTCCCTGAGCCTCCTTGCAAACAGTCACCAGAGATTTAGTAACCGAAGGTGAAAATGGCCCCGAGGAAGTGATTTTGATATGCATGAAGGGCAGCCATCCGAGGAATTCAATCGCTTTTGGAGAAGGTACTGACCTGTCTTTGCTCGAGGCTTTGGGGAATTTGTTACTGTGCACAGTGGAAAGCAAGTCCTCGTGCAACTCCAGTTCTTTACCAAGACAGAATCAGGACATCTAATTAATTACACTGTACACAGAGCTCTGCTCTTTAGTACACAGTGCACAGAGATCCGGGCTGCTGCTGAGCAGTAACTGGGCCAGACTGCACCTAAAGCCCTCAGGGCTGCTGCGCGAGGACACAGCCTGACACCACAGCCGTCGGTTCTAACGCTTGTCTTGGGAATCCTCATTCTGCAGAGCCCTCCAGAGTCCTAAAGCCCCAGAAATTCGGAGCGCGGTGCTGAGAGAGATCGGTGTGTTCAGGCTGTGTGAGGGCCAGAACACCACCTCTCCCGGCCGAGAGAGGAGACAAGGCTCCGCGCAGAGAAGCAGCTGTGCCCGACAACCAGGCCAAAAGATATGGGGATGGCCTTGGAGAAACATCCTGTTATTTTCGCCACATACCTCTCGCACAATGATTAGTTGTTGGACGAAAGGCTGCTTACAAAGGACGACAGACCATGAGCCAGCTGGAGCCACAGCTATCAACACAAGGACAAACAGCGTGGCGGGAGGACTGGTGCTAGATTAGCCTGGCAGATGGTTTATCTGAGGCTCTTTTTCTTTTTTTGATAACATGCAATAGCACAGAAGCAGCAATCTGTCAATACCAAACCCTCCTAGAGAGGGGTTTCCACCCGCACGGAGCCGCGGCCCGTCTGTCGTTACTGCTTCTCTCCTCACGCAGCTGTGCGAAGCCCACCGGCCGTGTCAGGCAGCAGTGACGTGCCGCTGCCCTCGGGACGGGGCCAGGCAACGCCCG